TCTTTCTTTCTTTCTTTCTTTCTTTCTTTCTTTCTTTCTTTCTTTCTCTCTCTCTCTCTCTCTCTTTCTCTCTTTCTCTCTTTCTCTCTTTCTCTCTTTCTTTCTTTCTTTCTTTCTTTCTTTCTTTCTTTCTTTCTTTCTTTCTTTCTTTCTTTCTTTCTTTCTTTCTTTCTTTCTTTTTTTGGCTTTTCAAGACAGGGTTTCTCTGTGTAGCCCTGGCTGTCCTGGAACTCACTCTGTAGACCAGGCTGGCCTCAAACTCAGAAATCCGCCTGCCTCTGCCTCCCAAGTGCTAGGATTAAAGGCATGCGCCACCACTGCCCAGCTGGTGTTGTGTTGTGCTTTTTCTTTGTCTTATTTACTCTGGTTTCCTTGGTAACCTGAAAACACTATTGTTAATAAATCAGATATTTTTGTATTATCCTGAAGTATAAATGTTTGCCCTAAATTAGATATTATTGATGAATATTTTTAAAAAATTATAACTTACAACCTAGAAACAATTTATACAAATTCTTCTCTATGCAATTAATATTAAAATAAAAGAATCTGAATTAAGATTTCTTTTTTTTTTTTTTTTTTTGGTTTTTTCGAGACAGGGTTTCTCTGTGTAGCCCTGGCTGTCCTGGAACTCGCTCTGTAGACCAGGCTGGCCTCGGACTCAGAAATCCACCTGCCTCTACCTCCCAAGTGCTGGGATTAAAGGTGTGTGCCACCACCGCCCAGCTTGAATTAAGATTTCAAGTGCAAGAAATATAAGTATTATAGATAAATTTCATTGAAGATATGATTTTTTAAAAAAGGTAGAAATAATTAAATCCACTAACACACTGCTGTTTTATTATTGAATTCAAATGTCATTACCCTAAAAACACACAGAAAGAAGAATAAAACAAATATAGTTCTCCCAGTTCTCCTACTAGTGCAGTGGCTAGATCAATTTCTTTTCATCTACAGATATCTGAATATATAATAAAACTTTACAAAGTATGTAAGTCAAATCATCATTGTTTTAATTTGTATGAGTTTTATCAGAACAAAATTATTTTCCACTAGTATCAATAACAAAACCAGTTTATATATGCATACATACCAAGAATAAGAGCAGCTGTTGGAATTTCTCTGAGTTTCATTTGAGAGCCCCAGTTTCTGGAATTTTTTTGGAATTCAGAATGGGACTTCTGCAGAAAGTCAACTAGGTTATTAAACAGATTTTCATTTAATTCCTCCTGTAATTGCTGCAAAGAAAACCAAATTTCATGAATTATTAGTAGTTGTATTTCTTTTCTTTCCTGGTGCAGGAGAGTTTCAATCTTCTTTTCCCTTTGAATGCTTAGTAATTTTAGTTGATGAGATAAATCAGCAATAAACCAACAGGGTAAAAGAACCCCACAGATATAAACACAGAAGGGACAGCACAAACTATATTGAGAGGGAAAAGAAGGGGAAAACCTAGAGAATATGTTAACACACGGTGAGGAAGCACACAGTGTATTGGGAGGGGACAGAAGGGGAAACACACACGTATATTAACACACAATGAGCAAGCACACACTGTATTGAGATGAAACAAAAGTGGGAAACACACGCACATACACACATATTAACACACAGTGAACAAGCATACAAGGTATTGAGAGGGAACAGAAGGGCAAAATAGCTGAAACTGACATTGAATTTTGATATGCAGAAGAAAATTGTCGTAGAGTTAAGGGGACAGGTTGAAGTTTGAGGAGTAAAGTAGACAGGGATAAGGACATCAAGTTACAGAAATGTGAGTGTGTTCCTAGCTAGCAAAGATGATCTCGTTATGCAGACAAAGTCTTCCAGATAACCATCATTAGAATACCAAATTTATCTCTGACAGGGCTAGGAAGCAGACCCTCGAGCTTTTCTTCCTAAGAAATGACCTTTCCTCAGGTAAGTGTATATTGAATAAAGAAGCCTCTTCTTGAGCCTACTGGTTTTTTGTTTTGTTTTGTTTTGTTTGTTTGTTTTGTTTTTTCGAGACAGGGTTTCTCTATGTAGCTCTGGCTGTCCTGGAACTCACTCTGTAGACCAGGCTGGCCTTGAACTCAGAAATCCGCCTGCCTCTGCCTCCCAAGTGCTGGGATTAAAGGCGTGTGCCACCACTGCCCAGCGAGCCTACTGTTTTTTAATGTTGATAAATATAAATTTCATTTTACAAATGACAGCTTCTCAGAGATGTATCTGTATCTGTAACTTCTCATTGTATTTGGAAATATACTTAAATATACGGTCTGGAGACATGACTTGGCCATTAAAATCATGTACTGCTCTTGCAGAGGACCTGAGTTCAGTCCTCCACATCCACTTGGTAGCTTATAACATCTTTCACCCCAGTTCCAGGGCCCTGACACATTTGACCTCTTCAATACACCTACACACATATGCACATACCCCGACATAGGCACATATATACACATAATATAAAACTGAAAAATAATTATAAAGAGAAATATATTTTGTGATGTTCTATTTCGACTCTTGCTGGAAAGAAAAGTATTATAGATGCAGTTGCTTCACAAGGGAAAAAAAAAAGGTTTTCCTTAAATTTCTGGAGATTAATGCTTTGGATTATATCATTTAAAAATCTCTCAGTTACTCATTCCATAACCATTCACTAATCATTTTGTGGATATCAAAGACAGTCTTTCCTCTAAAAAGGTGAAGAGATAAAAGTAGAACCATCCACTCTAAGCAGAAGAGGAAATTCATCTGAACCAAGACACGGTCTGCTGATGGAGAAGGGGACAGGAGACAAGGGTAAGTGAGAAGAACAAGCTGTAGAAACAAAGAAAGCACTGGGAGAGAGAACCACTGACATGACAGATCCAATGTGAGAAAAAGCCGCCGCTGCGAGGAGGTAAAGGTCTCGAGGGAAACAAACACCATGGGATAAAAGGACTGGAACTGTAAAGAGGACACCCAGAGAGCTACAAAGAGTGACATGACAGGCTAATTTAACACCACGGTGAAGACAGAGGATAAAGGAGGTGATGCTGGTAAGGGGCTACATGAAACCCGCCCCAAAGTCTGACCGAGAGCTGCATGTACCAGAGAGCGAGGCATGTTCCTGATATGACTCAGAAACCAACAAAGCTAGTGGCAGGTTCGAAGGCAGGATGTCAGGAATGCAGCTCAGGGAGTGTTGTGGTAATCTAGGTTAAGGAACCTTAGTTACCTCATGCAGTGTTTCAGCAGTTTGAAGTCCTCTGGCAGAGGACTGAAGTTCAGTTCCCAAGGGGTGACTTTCTACCTTGTTAACCCTAACCCCAGTGAATTCAATGCCCTCTCCTGTGAAGTGTAAAGTACTAAAGCTAGATGGGAAATGATAAGAGACTCGAAAGTAGGTGACTGGAAAAATGGCTCAGTAGGTAAATGTGCATGTTGTGTAAGCAGAAGGACCTAAGCTGGAATTCCCAGCACCCAAGTAAAAACCCTCATTCAAAACCAAAACACTATAGCAATGTGTTGATTAAGCAGAATGAGCTGTTGGCACTGGAGCTACTGCCTTTGCTATACTGAGGATATTCACAGCCAGAACATGCATGCAGTAAGCTCTGGGCCAGCCTGAGCTACTTTTAAGACTGTGTCTCAAGAAGAAACCAAAACAAAACACAGCAAAAACTGGATGCTAGCACAGATTTCAAAATGGCTTCATTTCAGACTTGTGTAACCTCTTAGCTGAATTTAAGAGTTCACCATAGTGATTTTCTTCTTCTTAGAAACAATCATGTTGCCGGGCGGTGGTGGCGCACGTCTTTAATCCCAGCACTTGGGAGGCAGAGGCAGGCGGATTTCTGAGTTCGAGGCCAGCCTGGTCTACAGAGTGAGTTCCAGGACAGCCAGGACTATACAGAGAAACCCTGTCTTGAAAAAACCAAAAAAACCAAACAAACAAACAAAAAAAAGAAACAATCATGCTGCATTAATGGAAGCCATGCATAACATTTACAACATGACACCTGTTTTACTTGCAGTACATAGGCTGTGTTTGATTGTACTTTCTCATTTTCTGTGCATACTCTTATACATTGTTAGATATGGGAAGTGATAAATACAAGACTTACACTATTTTATTATTACAGAAATGTAAAAAGGAAACTATTCACCTCTGTTTCAGATTTCATCCGTTGCCATAGCAAGTGATACGTTTCAAATCGAAGTTTACTGTCCTCAGAGTCAAGTTCTTCATTATGAAAATAGTCCTCTTTAAAAAAAAAAAAAACCTCGGAAAGTCATTTTTTTAACACAATAAAATTAAGAGACTGTACGCAGAGACACAGCATGGGGGAGGGGATCAAAACATTTTCTATGCATCCAAAGACCATGTATCTCCATATATATCTGTCTCTATTACATTTGGAGAAAAACAATATACTTTATCATTTGTATTTATTTTTACATCTTAATTTTTGCCATATTAAAAAAGACATTTGAATTTTTAAAGTTCTATTCCTTACTAAAGAATCTCTAAGCTTTTACTTATTGATTTTCAGTTCAAGGTATATATACACATTAATGTTTTCATCCACATCTTCTTTAACTTTCTATATTAAATAATTTTTCATACTGTTTTTTCTTCTATTCACATGCTTAGTCCAGCCTTTGATTTAATGAATAACACTTTCTTTTCTTTTGTCTTTTCTCTTCTCCTCTCTTCCCCTTCCTTTCCCTCTCTTCCCCTAGCCCCATTCCCCCTAGTTTTTCAAGACAGGGTTTCTCTGTATAGGTAATCCCGGCTATCCTGGAACTAGAGAAGGCTAGCCTCAACGTCAGAGACCTGTCTATCTCTATCTCCCAAATATTGGGATTAAAGGTATGAGCCACACTGGGCAGTGGTGGTGCACACCTTTGATTCCAGCACTTGGGAGGCAGAGGCAGGCGGATTTCTGAGTTTGAGGCCAGCCTGGTCTACAGAGTTCCAGGACAGCCAGAGCTACACAGAGAAACCCTGTCTCGGAAAAAACAAACAAACAAACAGACAAACAAAAAAAAGGTATGAGCCACCACCATCTGCCTTTCTTTGCTACTTATTTTGTGTGTGTGTGTGTGTGTGTGTGTGTGTGTATGAACACTCTATCTGCATGAACACCTGCATGCCAGAAGAAGACATCAGATCTCCTTATGGTCAGGAGCAACCATGTGGATGCTGGGAATTGAACTCAGGACTTCCTCCAGAAGAGAGGCCAGTGCTCTTAACCACTAAGCCATCTCTTCAGCCCCTTCTTTTCTTTTTTATAACTCAATTCTATTAAAAGGTACATGCGTTGCCAAGAAAGACAGAAGAGAGTGCTGAATCCCCTTGACTGGAGCTAACAATAAATGGTTGTTAGCTGCCATGTGGGGCTGGGAGTCAAGCCCAGTTCCTCTAGAAGAGCAGCCAATGCTTCTAACAGTTGAGTACTATCTGTCCTTATGTGTATTACTTTATATTTTTTAAAACTTTTCTCTCCTGACAGCCTTTCTGTCAAGATTTTTTTTTTTGCAATAGTTTTGAAAAATGTGTATCAAGGAATATATTATTTTGAAAATTTAACAAATATATTTCCTGAAGACACAAAACCAAAAGTCCCATACAACTTTTACTCTTATCCTCTAACAGCAAATGTGTTTCATAGTTCACTAAAGTGATTTCATAACTTGCAATGGGTTGTGACCTCCAATTTGGACACAGCAGAAATTTACTTTTATGTTGACTACCTCACCTCCTGTTCCTCTCAGATGCTTTTTCAGTTGAACGTCAGTTTGTGAACTTTGATCTATTGTCCAGTTCTCTTTCCATACCCATTCTCATCCTATAGCCACAAAAGAATTTTACACGTTGATTCAAATAGAGACATGGGGCTAGAGCAGTGGCACGGCAGTTAAAACAGTGCTTCTCCTGCAGAGGATCTAGGTGTGAGCCCTGGCACCCACAGTGGCTAAACCACCTGTAGCTACACTTCCGGGATATCTAATGCACTCTTCTGGCCTCTGCAGCAGCCACCAGGCATGCACACAATGGATGATGTACATATACAGAGGCAAAAATACAGACATAAAAATAAAAATCCTGAAATAACCAAAAAAAAAATGTTATGAAATTAACAGTGATGTTGGCACGTCTCAAAAATTATCAACACTAATATACTAACTGGATAAAGTCAAATTTATAGACTGAGCGACTGAGCTGGTAAAAAGGGAAAAAATATTTAATGGTTATAAAAATTCATATCCAGGCCAAAGACAAATGTAAAACCTAGCACTCAGCAAAAGTATTCCAAGTCTGAAGATAGATTAGACATATAATAACTAGATATAATTATTTTAAACTCATAATTTTAAAACAGCAGTGGCTTGTTCCTTCACTCAAACATCTTATGTTCCTTGCAATGTCCTACTTATCTTATGTCCTTAGCTTTCTGGTTTATTCCAACACTTCTTTCGATAAGTCAAAGCTTTCAGTCTAGCATCCTATTGGTAGCGCTATGTCTTTAGTTGGTAATTTAGAATATATGTTCTTCCTTATAATAGCTGACTTAGTTTTCACAAGTATCTTAACCTTGCCAAGAATTTTACATCACAATAAAATCATTAATATAAAGATGGTTAAGTTATTGTATTAAGATGCAAAAAAAAAAAAAAAAACAAAGAGAGATTGTATGGAAATCTATTAAGAGATGAAGCAAAAGGTAGCCTTAAACAAGAAAGAGCTCATAGTATTCTATTGGTAGGTAAGATGGTGATAACATGTTACATAGTAAACTAAGGCATGAGTTCACATGCTGAGTTACTACAAAGTACATACTGAATGTGATCTTAGAAGCTGGGAAGGCAACAGTAGGACACCAGTCCACGAGGAGCACGTCTCTCAGTCCCTGAAGTCAGTAAGCAACAGCAGATGGACGCTATCGAGGCTTCCCTCTCACCTCAGCTTCTATGTCAGTGTGTATGCACAGCCATGCCACGTGGCTGCCCAGTTCTACCAACTGTTTTGTTACATGTGCAGCCTTCTATAACACACTATCAGGTGGGATGAATTTACCAGTGTTTGCTTAGGGATACATCTAAACGTCTTCAATCAGGGGATATATGGTGGGCAAAATATAAACCATACCTTCTCCAGTCAATCCGCTTCAAATACTGAAGACAGTGAAGGTAACTGCTAAAAAGTGGGATTTATTTCCCTCATCCTATCTCCTACAATCAGTCAATTCCTTAAACACGTTTGTACTGTAATAATACAGTAAAGACCTATTAGTAAAAAGACCTATTAGTCTTTTTTTAATACCTATTAGTCTTAAGCCAGCACAATGAAAGAAAAATGAATAATTCTAAAGTAATGCTCAAATTATATTGCTGTACACATGACATGTTGATATTACAAACTGAAAATAAATCTTCTAACTGCAATCCAACATAGAGTTCTATGCAAAGATTTGCATGATATTAAAAGAGGATATCATAAAACGATGGGGTTAGAGCATGGGGTCTAAAGTCACAGAGGATGGGTTCAAATCCCAGCTCTATGATGCTTACAACATTATAATTCTGAGAGAGTTCTTTCTATTGTCAGGAATCCTTATATATATATATATGGTAATAGAGATAATACTACACTCCTCAAAGTTAGCTGAGATTAAACAAACTAAAATGCTTAGAACAGTCCAGCACATAATAAATGCTTTAATATATTACCAAATTTATTTGTTATAATTATACTGCTAGTGATTTTAGATGTCACTGTATGGTATATATCTTTCATATATAATGAAGGAATAGACCTTTCATTTTCTTTAAACTACTCCTGGTATATTGAATCATCTCCAACATTAAGGAAATTTGCTTATAATCACTTAAGTTTAAGAAGATCTAGGGGAAGAAAAATTAACAAATTGGATGTTACAATACCTTACCTATTGGTACAGAGATCTTTTTTTTTTTGAAGTCTGGTTTAAACACAAAACAGCCCTGTTTAAAAAAAAAGGAGGGAAGGATGAATAAAGCATAAAGTCAAATTAGGCACATAGCAGGCAAATCTGATTACACAAATATTCTTATCAACAATTAAGTTCTTTAAAGGGGGGTTGGGGTGGGAGATATAGCTTCCAGTTCCTAAGAAATCATATCACTTTTCTTTGAAATACAGAAGGGGAAAAGTCTTGAAAATTGTATCCATTTCTTTCTCCTCTATCCAATAAGTTCTCATACTTTTTAAGATCTCTTCAAAGAGACAGCCCAATTTTTCTTAAGTTCAAGTTTAATAAAACTTAGAAGGGATGTAACATTAAGGATGTACATTAAAATAGATTAAGTTAAAAACACTCATTCCACTGCCGGGCGGTGGTGGCGCACGCCTTTAATCCCAGCACTTGAGAGGCAGAGGCAGGCGGATTTCTGAGTTTGAGGCCAGCCTGGTCTACAGAGTGAGTTCCAGGACAGCCCGGGCTACACAAAGAAACCCTGTCTCAAAAAAAAAACAAAAAACAAAAAACAAAAACAAACAAACAAAAAAAACCACTCATTCCAAGAGGACTTTTTTTCTTAATTAATTAACTCTAAGTATCCCCTGTCTCAAAAAGAACCCCCCCCCAAAAAAAAAGTATTTAACTCTAAGTATCTACAACCAGGATGTAAGTAGATAATTTTGGCTCTTGTTTCATCTGACATCTTTTCTCAATTAATAAACTTCTTTCCATGTATCCATTACAGTTTGGCTCAAAATTGATCGCTCACATCTGTAATCCACTCGAGACAAGAGAACTGTTAGGATGGAGGCTAGCCTGGTTTATACAGTTAAAAAAAAAAAGAGGAAGGCATGGTTTGGACTCTTACTATCTTAATACCTGAGGTGTCTTCCCTTACATCAGCTTGTGGCTAACTTAGCTATGTAACCAAACAAAATCAAATACATAAAACCACCATCTCCTGCAGGAGACCCTCCTGGACTTTGCTGCCAGAAATGCTTCTCCTGAGATCTCAGTACTCAACTATCTTTGCTTTGACTCCCTGGTAATTTGTGAGCACATTTACATCACAGATGTATTTTATTTATAACCGCCTCCTCAATGTTTATAACAGTACTAACAAATAAATACATTGGGTGATCAGTACACAGAATGAATAAATACTTGCTAAGTAATTTTCCAGCTACATTAAGTTTCCTATTCTTACCTGTGACCACTGAAACTTAGATCCTAAGTTTCTAGTTGTGGTGTATTCTGTCAAAATGAAAGTTACATTTCATGGATAGTCTCTTTTTTTGTTTGTTTGTTTGTTTTAAAGATTTCTTTATTTCATGTATGTGAAGATTGTGAATATTGAAGATTTCATGTATGTGTCTTCATACACACAAGAAGAGGGCATCGAATCCCCATTACAGATGGTTGTGAGCCATCATGTGGTTGTTGGGAATTGAACTCAGGACCTCTGGAAGGGCAGTCAGTGCTCTTAACTGCTGAGCCATCTCTCCAGCCCATGGATAGTCTCTTAAAATTTCCATTTATGCCGGGCGGTGGTGGCGCATGCCTTTAATCCCAGCACTTGGGAGGCAGAGGCAGGTGGATTTCTGAGTTCGAGAGGAGTTCGAGGCTAGCCTGGTCTACAGAGTGAGTTCCAGGACAGCCAGGGCTACACAGAGAAACCCTGTCTCGAAAGACCAAAAAAAGAAAAAAAGAAAAATGTTCTCATTTTCTGGGAAGGCTGGAGATGCAGCTCAGTGGTAAAGCATTTGTTTAGTGTGTACAAAGTCTACAGTGTTATATTCACCACCAGAAAAGAAAAAGAAATAGAAATGAAGTTTTAAGCAACAAACAGGATTAGGAGTTAGGGCACTTAAAACATCTGGAACTTTGTAGCCAAGGGGAGAATAGGGATAGAGCTTAAAAAAAAAAAAAAAAACCCACAAAAATCTTTAACTAGGATATGGGTGTGGTGGTCCACACCCTTAAACCTAGCACTTGGCAGGCTCAGGAAGGCAGGTGAGTTCAAGGTCAGGCTGGTCTACACATAGAGTTGCAAACCAATAAAGGCATATAGAGAGACCATGTCTCCAAATAAATTGATTAAACCATAGTGCTTGCTCTCTTTGAAATGTAGTCTTTGAGAGCATTGCTTGTCATAGACCATTTTAATCAAAATTAAATATTTGGTGCAGCGTTACCTTTCATCATTAGCATACTTCTTAAATGTCTTAACTCTCAGCCAGAGCCATACCATTTGTAAAGTATCTCCATTTCAGTTGAACTATGACAATTTCTTTAAGTGGCAGTCAGGTTTCTTCAACTAAAGTGACTTGCTTCTATATTCTTCCCTGCTCCATCTACCCTCAGGAATGCCCAACTAGAAAAAGTGTTTATCCATCACCTAAAATTCATGAACTGAGCATTCACTGGATACCCCTAGCAACCTAATGGGCTGTGGGTCAAAAACAGAGAACATTTCAATGTCCTCCAGAGTATTCATTCTGTAAAAGTGCTGAAGGGGCTCAGTCTGCCCTGTGGTCCAGAACCTCCTCACTGGCTCTGATCAGCTGCTGCCTGCCTGTCTGCCTCTGATGTTAACATCACCTCTAATAGACTTAAAAAGGGAGCCCACCTCAGTGTTCCCTGGAACCCCAAACACGAAACCTTTCAGAACTTTGTAGAAGTCTTGCTTTATATGGCATAGCAGCACAGTCCAGTAGAACTTTCTTTTCAAACGGCTGCACTATTTGATATCCTTGAAATACGGTTGATGCTAATGATAAACTTAATTTTAAGTTATCTGAATTCAAATGTACCCACAGGCTGCTAGGGGGCAGGCAATACAGGCCTAGAATGTCTCCTCTTACAAACTATATTTTGACTAGCACTCCCTTGCCATCCAGTAGTCCACAATTCCTCAAAACACTAATCTGAATTAGTTTTGTCTTGGTTTTTCCTAATGCTCCTTTCTCCTCTCACGGGTTAAACTGCTCTTTCTGCTTAATAAGCTATTTTATTTCTACATCCTAAGGCGAAGAGCATCTTATTCTGCTCTCCCAAAGTAATGCTTTCTATTCCCTCCAAGATCCTTATTTTTCACATCTAAGCCAAACTGTAACTTTCTCCAAGAGCTTCCCTGGTCTCCTAGCAATCTTGGTTCGTCCCTCTTCTCTTAGAACTTTTCTCCTTGTTAATACGCCAATTCAAGATCAGCTGCTCATTAATATTTCTGAGTACAGAAAGTTATTTTGTTAAGTCTGTATTTCGGTTACTTAACGCACAGTGTTGTGTACTTATGAGACGAAGAGTGGGGAAAGCGGCAGAACACAGCACATTCTGGGGGCAGCGGGTCTCCTAGCCTTGGCGCCACGGCCTAGTTGGCCAAAGCAAACCTGGCCTCGAACCCGGACCTGGGCAAAGCCGCCTGAGTCCTGCTCTTCCCGGAGCCAGAGCTGATGCCCATCAAACCTCGCCGGACTTGCCAAACAAGCACCGCGAATCCGAGGCGAGCGCCACCCCCACGTACCTTGGACACAGAGGAGGTGGCCATAGTCCGCGGCCCCGTGTGCCTGCGCACTATACACTTCCGCGCGCTCTTGCGGAAGCAGAGGCGACTTCCGGCGCGGAGGCGGGGCGTGCGGGAAAGGGAGGCATGGCGTGCGGCTTTCGTAGGTCGATCGCCTGTCAGGTACTGTCTGGAGTGGCGAGCCGGCGGGAGCCAGGGCCAGAGGGTGCAGCCTAGGCCAGCTCTGCCTCCTTCTTGAGCTGCAGAGTGGGAAGACTCTCGAGAGCACTGAGTGCTCCGTGTCTTCTCATTTCCCGTTCTTCATGCTTTAACCTGGGCGGACTGTCCATGGGCCATGACTAGACCCTGTAGAAATTAATGTTCCTCGTTCGTTTATACTCTTTATTTGCTCTCGTGAATAGCCTGACAGTATATACCTCGAATAAGAAACTTTGTAGCTTAGTAAACCTGTAGACCATGTTCTCCTGAGAAAAGCTCTAAAACCAGCCTTGGAGACCATTGAATAAAATAGGTTATTTAAAATTCATGCTAAGGGCTGCGGAGATGGCTCCGTGGGTGAAGTACCTGCTATACTAACATGAGTGCCTGAGTTCGAATTTCCAGAACCTATGTAGAAAAACCTGCATGGGTAAGGAAGTCCGAAACCACACTTCTGGGAGGTGGAAACAGAAACAGGTGGATCCAGCTCCTGGTTCGGTGACTGTCTCAGATAAGGTGGAGAAAGACACTTGACCTGTACCCCTCCTGTGTTCACTGCAACCCATCCTGCGTGGAGTTTGCTAGTGCTAGCACAGACTTAGGCCCAGTGTGGTAGAGTTGTTTTAGAACAATTCTGAAAGATGGTGCATATGCTTCTTAGGCAGTACTGTAGGATTAAGCTCCAGACTACAACGATGATTTTAATGTATAATCTGTGTGTCTGTGTTTGTATGTTCCTTCATGAAGAGAAGCCACAGGTTGCCTTGTTTCCTCTAGTCACTGCCCACCATTTTTTCTAAGACAGATTTTTCTCCCTCAACCTGGAATTTACCAGTTTTGCTAGGTTGGCTAGCCAAGGAGCTCCAGGTGTAATGGTGATTCTGGTGTTAGCTGAGTTCCTTGCATGGGACAAACAAAACTGACTGTCTGGGAAAGACAACAGACCAAAATACAAGAGAAGTGTAGAAGACTGAGAGGCAAAGAGAATGAAACAATGTTTTTATTAAGGCAGACTGGTCCTGTGGAGTGAGGGAAGGAAAATCCAGAGTTGGGGAGTCAGGCTGGTTGGGGGTAGGGAGGTGCAGGTGTCTTCATTGGCTGTGCATGCCCCATTGGCTCAGCAAGGAGATGATCATAGGATTTTATGCACTGCTTGCTCAATTAAGAAAGTGACTATGCTTTGAAGACACTTTTCTATGTTTACTTGCCTTTCTAGCTGTTAACTACGACTCTGCTGACCTTTATCTCAAGAAGGCAAGGTCCGTCCTTAGACCTTCAAGGTATTGCTGTTCTTAAGTCCTTGGCAGGATCTGTAAGCCATTAGTTAGCCCCTGCTTTCTTTGTTCTTGTGTTTATGTGACCTGCTTTTAGCTTTACCACGGCAGGAAATTTATACCTGTCATAATTACTGTCCACGCCGATCTACAGCTCTCCAACTCAAATAGCATAAAGGATAGCATATGCTGGAGCCAAATTTGACAGACTGGGCCAGCAACATGGGTTTATGTCTCCCCAATTTCCATAGTTCCAGTATGGAAGAGTTTCATGCAATAACAGAAAAAAGAGTAATAATAAGTCAAAGCATTTGAAAAGTAGATTGATGGAACCATCAGAGAGGTTGGTTGCAGCAAGATGGGGATAACTCCTCTATAGACCTTGGCTGTTATCTGGCAACACTTTGAGCCCCTCTGCTTGGTGAAAAGCTAGGTTTTTTTGTTAATACACTCCCAAAAGGTTCTTACCTGTCAGGCTGTTAGGTCTAGCTAGTAGTAGCAGGATATTAGGCCCAAAGATATGAGATTCCCAAGATGAAATTAATTAGGCTCTAGATCTGCAACATCCATAACTCTCCACAGTCATTGAAGTTTTAGTCAGTCAGCTACTACAGACACAGCTTCTTTTCAGGAATTCTCACTCACATTACCAACATGTAGCTGCAGTTTTTTCTTGGTTACCTGTACCCCAATTCCTTGTCTGTGGGACAGTCCGGAGTGGTCTCCTTCCTAAAATAGGAACAACTCTTCTTTATTTACAGTTTAATTCCTGTAAATGGGCAACATTGTCTTATGTATGTTCCTCAAGGAAGCCAACTGGCCTGCTCAAACTGGCTCAGCCCTGTCCTCCTTTTTTATATAAAAAAAAGAATCATGCAATGTATTTTTATCATAATCTCTCCCACCCACCACCCACCATTCTCCTCCTTATCTGGTCATCTCATACCCAAATTTAGGCCCTTTTTCTTCTCATCCCTAATACCCTGTCACTCTGCATACCAGCACTGGGAAGATACCAACACGTGTCACCATGCTCAGGAGTTCTAGGGTTCTGAGCCCAGGTCCTCCTGTTTTTATGGCAAGCACTTTACCCATTGAGCCATGTTCAGCTCTGGTGGTACAATCTCCTATAAACTCCTTCCCTCTCCCTCTCTCAATGCATCACCTCAGTCCCCAGGAGTCATCTCTCAAATAAATTGCTTGCACCAAAGTTCTGAGGCTGGGCTTCACAACAACCGCATTTCCACAACTAGTTGTGGTTTTCTGTACTGATCTCTGGCTGCTTAACAAGGGTTCTTTCCTTTTTGTGTGTCACATGTCCAAGGAATAACTAAAGCCTATAATGTGTGCCTGTCACAGAAAATTATTCAAAACATGGAAATATCTGTACCACCAAATTTAACACAGCCATGAGAGAAGCTTCCTGAAAATAAAAATGTACCTATTTCTGCTTACTTATTTGTGTGCTAAGAACCAAAGCTTGTGCCTCATACGTACCAAACCCAGGGCGGGTGGCTAGTGCTTTATCACTGAGTTATCCCATGGCCTTTGCTTTGGTTTTTCCTTAATTTTGTTTTTTTTTTTTTTTTACTGCTTTTCTGATGATTAAACCTTTAATAGGGTTTGGGCCTGGGGATAGATTTTCTTTCCTTAATGTTTACTTGTTTCTATTGAATGCCATAATTTTTAAATCTGTTTTCTTTTTTGTTGTTGTTGTTGTTGCTGTTATAGCCACAATGCCTAGAATACTACCTGGTAGAATACAGACCAGCTACTCAATAAATATTCTTTTTGTTTGTTTGTTTGGTTTGGTTTTGAGAGACAGGGTTTCTCTGTGTAGCCTTGGCTGTCCTGGAACTCACTCTGTAGAACAGGCTGGCCTCGAACTCAGAAATCCACCTGCCTCTGCTTCCCAAGTGCTGGGACTAAAGGTGTGCGCCACCACTGCCCGGCTTGAGATTCTTTCTTATTAAGTGTGTTAATGACATTTCTTTATTGCTAGTAGTATTCCATTCACTCTGGAATGGATATATCAACAATTTTATCCCATTTTACTCTTTTTTTACTTTTAGCTTTCCAGAGTATTGGCTCTTCCACCAGAAAGCTTGATCAAGTCAATATCTGCTGTTCCAGTTTCAAAAAAAGAGTTAAGTATGCTTGAAGTAATCTCAAATTGTTGAATTTGTTGGCAATCCAATTTTACTTAACTCTTCAATTTACAGAGTAGTTCTTAAAGTTATGATTCATTATATTTCAACTTATTACCATTAGTGTCATAAAATTCCAGTTCTATTTTAAGTATTCTGTTGTGAATGTACTATCCTTTTGTTAATTATTTTCATATTTGTTAATGCTAGCAATAATTATGTCAGTCTAATCTGATTGGAATATTAGAGACTGTATAATATTTGATGCTTGAATACTATTGTACCATATTTACTGTACCTACCCCTTTGTTTGTGTTGTTTTGTTTGACTTTTCATTTGAAGACTCCCAAGTGATAGAAAATTATTGCTTAGGGCTATATAAAATCCATATTATTTTCTTAGGTATAGAGAAAAATATCTTTTTCTATATTAGGCTCATCATTTTAAACTGTTAATTTAGCATTTTGGCAAAATATTTTAGTGCTTGGACAAAATGTAGTCTACCCATGGATGTATTACCTTGGGCCACAGGGTCAAAATGTTCAAAGAAAAGAAATTGCATCTGCACTAAACATAAAGTTATTTTTCATTATCTCTGAGACAATATACTAATAACAACTACTTACACAGCATTTGCATTGTAACAGGAATTACAGCAATTTAGAGGTGATTTACAATATGGGGTACATGGAGGATGACTAGACATAGCATGCAAGGGTCCTTGAGCTTCTGCCAGCTGTAGATCTCCAAGATGTCCTGCAGAAGTCCTCTATCAGTTGTTAATAAGAAGCTTGCCGGGCTGGAGAGATGGCTCAGCGGTTAAGAGCACTGACTGCTCTTCCAGAGGTCGTGAGTTCAAATCCCAGCAACCACATGGTGGCTCACAACCATCCGTAATGAGATTGGATGCCCTCTTCTGGTGTGTCCGAAGACAGCGACAGTGTACTCATAAATAAAATAAATAAATAAATCTTTAAAAAAAAAAAAAAAAAAAAAAAAAAAAAGAAGCTTGCCACATAGGAGACTCTTAGCTCTAAGGTTTTTAATGATGGAATATAAAATTCTCAGTATCAGTGTATCCTTTGTTCCTGAATTTTATTAGAAGTTTCAGGTAAGAGGGAGGGATGAGTATTCCTCTTTTCATGATAAATAAAAGAAAAATATACAAAAGGCACAGACTAGAGACCACTGATAATCTTACTATTTTTAGTTTTGAAAATAGTGAAAATGGGGCTGGCCGGGCAGTGGTGGTGCACGCCTTTAATCCCAGCACTTGGGAGGCAGAGGCAGGCGGATTTCTGAGTTCGAGGCCAGCCTGGTCTACAGAGTGAGTTCCAGGACAGCCAAGACTACACAGAGAAACCCTGTCTCGAAAAACAAAAAAAAGGGAAAAAAAAAATGGGGCTGGGTGTGGTGGTGGATGCTTTTAATCTCAGCTCTTAGAAGTCAGAGAGTGTGAGTTTAAGACCAGCCTGGCCTATATAGTGAGTTCCAAGACAGCCAGGGCTGTGTAAAGGCCTGTCTCAAAAGAAAAAAAAAAATTAAAGAAAAGAAAAAGAGAGAAAGAAGACCTACTTTAAAGAAATCTATATGTCAGGCACTGACCACTACCACTGTGTGCATAGGGCCAGCATTCAGCACTGGGTTATGTTCATAGCTACTAGATTTCAAAGCATGGCTATTACAGCTTTTAAAAGGCTTGTTTTTCCCACTAACTTACTGTTTTAAAACAAAAGTGTAACAGGCAATCTAGTTAGAAAATTCAGGACACTTTCCCCTTGATGTTGAAATGATCCACACACGGCAGTTATGACAACCATGCTGATTAACCCAATTGAAAGTTTTAAGTTTTTTTTTTTTAACTGATGGCTAGACTAAGAATGGCTTGTGACTCTGAAAAGGCTCTTCGTGCTTAAGCCCAAGGGTGCCATCAGTGCTCAAGAGGAGTGTGTGTGTGTGTGTGTGTGTGTGTGTGGTGTGTGTGTGTTTTACTAGCCAAGCCTGATTTCTTTGCAAGACCCAGCAGTATCTTCCAGGCACTATATAATATGCTGAGACCATAGCCAATGTCATGGATGGTCCCAGAAGCCACAGCAAGATAAATGTGGCTGTTGGGGTCGAAGGCTGAGAGGTGACCAGACAGGCACAAAATACCACTGGGGACAGGATGGCTTTACTTTAGTCATTTCTTTTTTTTTTTGGTTTTTCGAAACAGGGTTTCTTTGTGTAGCTCTGGCTGTCCTGGAACTCATTCTGTAGACCAGGCTGGCCTCGAACTCAGAAATCTGCCTGCTTCTGCCTCCCAAGTGCTGGGATTAAAGGCATGCGCCACTACTCCCCGGCTAATTTTATTTTTTATTGGATTTTTTTTATATTTCAGATGTTATTCCCTTACCCCATACCCCCACCTGCTCAGTAACCCTCTATCCTAGGCCCCTACCTTTATGAGGATATGCCCTCCCACCCCCCAATTCCCACCTCCCCACCCTTGATTTCCCCCACACTGGGTGTTCAGCCTTCATGGGACCAAAGATCTCCTCTCCCAACTATGCCCAGCAGGGCCCTCCGCTCTTACATATACAGCTAAAGCCACAGATCCCTCCCTAAGTGCTCCCAGGTTGGTGGTTTAGACCCTGGGAGCTCTGGTTGGTTGGTATTATTGCTCTCCCCGTGGGGCCACAAACCCTTTCAGCCCCTTCAGTCTTCTCTCTCACTCCTCCATTGGGAACCCCATGATCAGTTCAGTGGTTAGCTGTGAACATCCACCTCTGAATATGTCAAGTTCTGGCAGACCTCTAAGGAGACAGCTATATCAGGCACCTGTCAGCATGCACTTCCTGACTTCCACATAAGCGTCTACCTTTGGTGACTGCACATGGGATGGATACCCAAGGGGAACAGTCTCCAGACGGCCCCTCCTTCAGTTTCTGTCCCACACTTTGTCTCCATATTTGCTCCCTTGAGTATTTTGTTAATCCTTCTAAGAAGGACCGAAGCACCCACACTTGGGTCTTCCTTCTTCATGAGCTTCATGTGGTCCGTGAGTTGCATCTTGGGTATTTCGAGCTTTCTGGCTTATATCCAATTATCAGTGAGTGCATACCATGTGGGTTTTTTTTGTGTGTGTGTGTGATTGAATTATCTCACTCGGGATGATATTTTCTAGTTCCATGCATTTACCTAAGAATATCTCGAGTTTATTGTTTTTAACAGCTGAGTAATATTCCATTGTTTCTCTTAAAACAAAAAAGAAAAAAATAGACCCAAGAAATTTCATTGGATTTTTAATTAATTTTTTTTATATAATGCTTTTTTTTTTTTTTTTTGGTTTTTTGAGACAGGGTTTCTCTGTGTAGCCCTGGCTGTCCTGCAACTCACTCTGTAGACCAGGCTAGCTTCAAACTGAGAAACCCACCTGCCTCTGCCTCCCAAGTGCTGGGATTAAAAGCGTGCGCCACCACTGCCCGGCTATATAATGCATTTTTATTTTTAGATCATAATTTGATTATATTTCTCCTTTCCTGTCCTCCTTCTCTGTCCAGTTTGTCGTATCCATTGGTGTCATCCTTAATTAGCTCCTGTTTGGTCAGTCATGTCAGTGAGGCTTTATTTGTGTAGTGTCTGGCATTACTAGGAGCAATTTCACAGCAAACTCTCTGACCCTCTGGTTCATATGTTCTTTTTGCCTCATCTTCTGCAATGCTCTCTGAGCCTTTCATGCAGAAGTGTTTTGTAGATGTACCTGTTAGAACTGCATATAATACATTTTGATCATATTCTTTCTCCCACCCAATTCTGCCCAGATCCTTTCCAATGTCCCTACTCGCCTAACTTCTATCCCTGTCTCTCTAAAAAACAAAAACAGAACAAACAAAAAACCAATAAAACAAAAAATACTAAACAGAAGCAAAGGCCCAGAAAAAAAATTCAGAGTCTGTTTTGTGTTGGCAGCTACTCCTGGTCATGGGCCCACCCTGTTTTGGGGTTGATGTACCCAGTGACACTCCATGGGGGTTTCCCTTTCCCAGAAGGCATCAGTTGCATATAACTTCTTATTAGCATTGGTATTTTGTGCCCACCTCCCAAGAAACTTCTTAATGGTCATGTTGAGTTTAAGTTTTGTAATGTGATGTTGACCAAAAACCATACAGAAATTTTTAGGTATTCCTATGAGTCGGCCACGTGTGCCCCTCCCATGTATATTCTTTTATGAGAATGACACGTGGGCTAGACAAGCAATGACATAACATGCTTAGCTCTCTGTTTAATACCAGAAGATGTCACTGTATGTAATTGTGCAGTTATTAAATAACCTGAATTGTCACACCCACAGAAAACTCTGTAGAGATATGATGAGCCATTCTCAGGTAACTCTCCAAACTGTGAAGTCTTTTTTCCAAATTTGTCTTCTTTTTCTTGTATGGTGAGGTTAACTTGACTTTTTTGTTTTGTTTTTCTCAATGAGACTACAAGTACTGTTTTTTTTGTTTGTTTGTTTGTTTGTTTTTAATTTATTTATTTATTATATATGAATACACTGTAGCTGTCTTCAGACACACCAGAAGAGGGCATCAGATCTCATTACAGATGGTTGTGAGCCACCATGTGGTTGCTGGGATTTGAACTCAGGACCTCTGGAAGAGCAGTCAGTGCTCTTAACCACTGAGCCATCTCTCCAGCCCCTACAAGTACTGTTTTAATGACTGGATACATTTCTTTGATTCGGTTTCTCTCATGCAAATGATTGTTCCTTTAGTTGGTTCCACTGTAGTTTATAATAGTTTTAACCATAATTTAATGAAAAGTACAAATAGCTGTTCCCATATCTCTAGGGCACAACTGAGTGTTATATAATACATTCTTTTTTCTTTTTCTTCTTTTTTTTTTTTTTTTTTTTTTTTCTCGAGACAGGGTTTCTCTGTATAGCCCTGGCTGTCCTGGAACTCACTCTGTAGAACAGGCTGGCCTCGAACTCAGAAATCCACCTGCCTCTGCCTCCCAAGTGCTGGGACTAAAGGCGTGCACCACCACCACCTGGCCATTCTTTTTTCCTCATGTTGAAATGTAAAACCATTTCAAAACATTTTTGTAGCTGGGCTGTTGTGGCACATGCCTTTAATGCCAGCACTCTGGAGGCAGAGGCAGGCGAATCTCTATTCTGTATGAGTTCCAGGACAGCCAAAGCTATACAGAGAAACTGTGACTTGAAAAACCAAACCAACCAACCAACCAAAGAAACAAACAAAAAGACACAAACAAAAAAACATCTTGCTCTTGTTATTTGGACAGTTATATACAAACATTTAGAGTAAGGGAAGCAGGTTCATATAAGATGTTGAAAGACTTGGGCTTTTATCAATCTGCTTACTAGTTGCGTTTAATTTGCCAGATATCTTTGTCTGTTTCAAAGATAAAGATCTATACTTAGGTAATATGCAAGAATTTTATAAAATAACCAAAAACTTAAAAGTTATAAGTAAATAAAAAGTTTTGTGTTTCTTGGCTTTTAATTTCAAAGGTATTCATGAAGAATGCACAGATAATGTTTCTATAACAACTCTTTCCCCTTTCAATGTTTATCTTTAGAGAAGTGGCAGATTTTCAGCTTTCTGTGGATTCCTTACTAGAAGACAACAATCACAAGTCACAGCTAGACACTCAAGATCAAGCCAGGAGACTGGCAGAGAAGGTATTTTATCTGTAAATTATAATAAGCTTAGCTCTGCTCTACAGGCGACTTCAGCTATAATGAACCAAATGCAGTTTCTCTGTGTAAGACATCTTGTAAAATGTTTCAGTTCAATTTAGCTGTATGCTATGAGGTTAAATGGTTTTCAGAGTAGTTGTAAAGAATTCCTTTTGTTGTAATGTACTTTCTGTTGCTGTGGTAAATATGACCAAAGGTGACTTAGAGAGGAAAGGGTTCATTTGCATAGGTAGCAGTCCCTCACTGAGGGAAGTCAACACAGGAGCTTAAGCAATAACTGAAGCAGATACTCTTGCCGTTTGGCTCTCAGGCTCCTGCTTAGCTTGTCTGTTTATACAGCTGAGGCCCACTTACCCAGGGATGGTGCCACCTACAGTGGGCTGGACCCTCCCACATAGTCATCAATCAAGAAAGTTCCTCACACACAGGGTCATGGGACAGTATGGACAGTGAGGTTCCTTTCCTAAGTGACTAGGTTTATGTCAGGTACACAATAAAAACTCATTAGCACACTTCATGTACTAACATTGTTTAGTTAGTGGTTTGTTTTTTTTCTTTTTCTTTCTTTCTTTTTCTTTTTTTTTCTTTTTTTTTTTTTTTTTTTTTTTTTTTTTTGGTTTTTCGAGACAGGGTTTCTCTGTATAGCCTTGGCTGTCCTGGAACTCACTCTGTAGACCAGGCTGGCCTCGAACTCAGAAATCCACCTGCCTCTGCCTCCCAAGTGCTGGGATTAAAGGCGTGCACCACCACTGCCTGGTAGTGGTTTGTTTTTTATTAGCCACAGGACTGAAATGTCAATTAATTACATTTTATAGATTGAAACTGTATAAATTTTTGTTTTTTTGTTTGTTTGCTTGGTTGGTTTAGTTTGGTTTCGGTTTTCCAAGACAAGGTTTCTCTGTGTAGTCCTGAGTGTTGCTCTGTAGACCAGGCTAGCCTTGAACTTAAAGATCCACCTGTCTCTGCCTCCCGAGTGCTGGAATTAAAGGTGTGCATGACCATCACTCAGCAAAACTGTATAAGCTTTTAAAGACAGATTTACTTACTCCCCTGCAGCTGGAGTTAGACAGTTGTGAGTACTAGCAATAGAACCTGGGTGCTCTGGAAGACCAGTCAGTGAATGCTCTTAAGATCTGAGCCATCTCCTCAGCCCCCTGGATAAAGGTTTGAGTCTAGGAAAACAAACTTGATATATTAGAACAGTGGGTTGCAAGTTTCTGAAAAGAGCACTAAAAATATGAGGAGAAATAATGTATATGGAAGGATGGCAGAGAAGTTGTCGTTAGATGAGTTAGTAAACTTTCTGTATTTCTAAGTTCTTTCTCATAGGTAGAATAGATTGAGTGAATGACCAAATCTAAATTGTTTACTTCAGACCCTGACATAAAGAATGTTGGAAAAGGGTTTTGTTTGTTTTTAATTTTTTATTAATAAGGTTATATGTTGCTTGAAGAACTCTTAAAAAATTGAAACCATGAAAATCACTATTGAGAAAATATGTGTATTTAAAAAATGACTGCTACAGGAGCTTTGGCAACAGAGTACTAGTGGTTTCATTATATGATCACCTGCTTTTTGGTGGGTCTTTTTTTTTTTTTTTTTTGGTTTTGGTTTTCTTAAAGTCAGGATGTATACCTGGAGTAAAATTAATCTAATTACGATATTTAACCACTCCGTGTCTTTTAAGTTCTCAGAGCTAGAGATTGGTTGTTCTTCAGTGACAGCAGGCATCTAGTTGCATAACTATCTAAAGGTTTGAATGAACACATGCACGGCAAACAGACTCTTTTTTTTTTTTAAAGATTTATTTATTTTATGTGTGTGAGTACACTGTGGCTGTCTTCAGACAAGCCAGAAGAGGGCATCAGATCTTATTACAGATGGATGGAGCCACCATGTGGTTGCTGGGAATTGAACTCAGGACCTCTGGAAGAGCAGTCAGTGCTCTTAACCACTGAGCCAGCTCTCCAGCCCCGCAAACAGACTCTTTCAGGCTTCATTCTATGTGCTGGTGCAATTCCTTTAACAGTAGGTCCTGACACAATGTCCTATTTATGGCTTCCATGAAAGGTAAAAAAGATAAAGTGTTCGCTGTATGATAGATGTGGAAATTTGAGGTAAATGAACAGGAAAAGGGAGGGAGCAATTGAACAGCATTGTAGTGAGGAAAAAAGAAAAGAAAATGTGTTTGTGTACGTAGGATGTGGAACAGAAAACACTGGCTAAGCCTCTGGTCCATCTGTAATGCCTGAGAACTGATTCACCTGCTGTCTTGTGAGCCAATTTTGTGCTGTTAGAACTATGTGTCTCATTAGGTCGGTTCTAGAATGTAACCTGCTTTATCTGATTCATTCTTTTTCAGCTTAAGTGTGATACGGTAGTGACAGCCATCAGTGCTGGTCCAAGGACTCTAAATTTCAAAATAAACAGAGAATTATTAACAAAGGTAAGAATGGTATATAGCCTAGTCTTTGTGCTTTCTCAATGTGTTAGCCACATCTTAGCTCTGGAACTTGTTACTCCTCCTCAAAACTCATGCACATACGATTGATTCCTTAGTCTGGACTACAACCTTCAAGTTTTATATTATTTTCTTGGTTTTTTTTTTTTTCAAACTGCCAGCGTTCAAATCCACAGCCTTTGATATGCATAAACAAGCACTGTACTGTGGTTACTTCCCCAGCCCCTGACAGTCACCTGCTGACCTTTGGGCTGTCTCAGTTCTGCTAGGCTCCTCCTTACAGCAATGGCTTTTGCTGTTTCACACTTACGTTACCACTGCCACCTGTGTTCTCAACGCTAATTCACTTCTGGGTTTATGGCGTCTGTCTTTCCCACTGTTCTGTCTCCATGTTTTGATTGAGTGGCTGATGCATCATAGATGCCAGAGGAATCTATGAATGGGCTCTTTGTGAAGAGAAGTACATTAGTTTCTATTCCCTGGTAATGTATGATTTATTGAAGCATAAGGCATCAACTGTAGAAACCATGCAGTCACTTTTTCCTTTACTAAAACGGTGAATATCAAAGTAAAAAGATTGTTAATTCAGTGAGAATTTAAAATGTCAGAGATGCCAAAATCAAGATGGCCTGGAAGAATGGAGAAAATCTCTCAAAGGAGTTAAATCTCACTCAACACATCAGAGAACAGGTGGTCCTGGATAAATCATTACATGAAACCTTTAAGTCAAGTTCATTTTGTTCAATGTTTTAACATTATAATGCATACTTTGGTCTATTTTATTTTAAAGAAATATAGCTCACTGTTAGGTTGTTGAGGCTTAGTAAATATGGCAGTCCTGAATTGAAAAATAATTATAAAGACAAAAGTTCTCTGTCAGTGTTCTAAGTTACAAGGGACAATTGGAGAAAGAGACACTGCAAGGTGTAGTAGGCTTAGCAAAAGCAGCAGGGGGATCTGCTGGACTCTGCTGGACTGACCACCGAGCAGCTTCCCAGAAGTCCCCTACACACCAAAGTCTCTTATCTGATCTACGAGTTGGCTTAAGCAACTACCTGAGTAAACACAGCCATTAAAAGAATTCCAGGTTTGCCAGGAATGTCTTATGACTAAGGTCATGCAAAGGCTCTGAAATTCCCAAGGAAGAATTTCTCATAAATCTCTGATAACAATCACTGCTTATTCACGAGAGATGGTAGCTTTCAAGGCTAAGTGGTCATCCCTCCAGAGTAGACTGCCAGGTGCAATGGCTCTTGCAGAGAATCTCTGAATGTGGACTCTTTCAAGAATGATGATTATTAGATTTATATGCCGGGCAGTGGTGGCGCACGCCTTTAATCCCAGCACTTGGGAGGCAGAGGCAGGCGAATTTCTGGGTTTGAGGCCAGCCTGGTCTACAGAGTGAGTTCCAGGATAGCCAGGGCTACACAGAGAAACCCTGTCTCGAAAAACCAAAAAAAAAAAAGATTCATATATATATATATATGTATGTATGTATGTATGTATGTATGTACACTGTCTCTGTCTTCAGACATACCAAAGAGGGCATTAGTACTCTTAATCTCTGAGCCATTGCTCTGGCCCTCAAGGATTACTTTTAATCTCATGCCTTTGCTCCTCGGTACTTAACTTCTGAGTAGTTAATATTTTTTTCCAGATCATTGGGATTTTATTTTTTCAGTCATCTTTCATTCTGAAGTTTGTCAGCTAGTCAAAATCCACCCCACAGATGAGGACATTTATTTTGAGTTTGTTAAAGTGGTACCTACAACCTGTTAGTGTACTTATCTCCCAGGGCCTACTACACTTCCAGCAGGATCTCAACATAAGGCCCAAGTCAGCCTCAAGCACAGACTTCTTCTGAAATCATCCCATGGCAATTCACTAAGCTTATCATTTTTCACTTTTAAGTGATGCTTTTATAGTTATTATCTGATTTATAGAAATGAATCTTGCCAAATGTGCCTTTCATACTTTTAGCCCTTGGCAGCTATCTTGTCCTTCTTTTGTTTTTCCTTATGTTGGAGGGGAAAGGGGTAGAATTTTACCTTTAAAGCTACTTTAGCTGAAAGAAATAAGGTGTATATTTCCAGGAAAAATACATGTTTATGTAATAATTTAAAATTTCAATGCCCATGAACTTTATACTTTATTTCAATTAAGAAACTGTAGAATTTTGCCTAATTTGAGATGTCCAGTTGTATTGGTTACTACTAATATTTCCATGGCTAGATGAAGTAGAACATCCATAATGGTGTAAAGAACTCTCTCTTATTTGGGTACCACAGTTAACACTTGCCAATAGCTGCATCTATTGATGCTTAGATGATTTAAATCAAGTTCTATTTGCATTTTTAAAAATACAGACAAAAACTTATTTTCTTTTATTTAATTTGGTTTTTTTGCGGGATAAGAGGTATTTATTCATTTATTTATTTATTTATTTATTTTTATTGGATATTTTATTTACATTTCAGATGTGATCCCCTTCCCCCATTTCCCCCCGACCCAGGAACCCCCTATCGCATCCCCCCTCCTCCTGTTTCTATGAAGATGTGCCCCCACCCACCCACTCTTGAATTCCCCCACACTCAACATCTAGCCTTCAGGAGATCAAGGACCTCATCTCCCACCTTTGCCCGACAAGGCCATCCTCCCCTACATATGCAGCTGAAACCATGGGTCCCTCCCTATGTGGTCCCAGGCTGGTGGTTTAGACCTGGGAGCTCTGGTTGGTTAAAACCTTACTTTCTTAGGTATAAATGAAAAATCCATCGTGAATAAAATCACATTTTTTTAAATTTGCAAATCCAACTTTGCATACTCTACCAAGAGGAAGAGGAACTGTTTTCACTAAATAAGTTTTGCTTATAGGTAGTAAATACATTCAAGCCGCATTTATTTTATGTACTCATAGAAATAGTGATTTTACTACTAAAAATTGACCAGGCAAGTTGGTAGTGGCAAATTTTTTAGAGTCCTGCTGACAGGCCAGAGAGCAGTCAACCAATAGAGTTAGAAAAGTGAAAAGACTTAAGTCATCATAGGAAGGACAATGACAGACAGAGTAACAGCCAATTGGAGTATCCATTAAACTCCAATAACAGAAAGTGCAAAGACTTCATTTCTGAGTATTTACATGAGTACATCTTACATTTTAACTTGCATATTGATAAATATATTGGGTTCTAGTGCTCTTATCTATTGGAACATGATGGACCAATAGTACATCCTAGACGTTTTGAAGTTAAATAATGTTCATTTGTAATTGATAGCTTCTATAAAAGAGAAAGTTTTCTTCAAAGGTGTGGCGCTCAGCGCTTCCCTGGATGACCACACACCAGAGAGTGCACAGGCAGCATTGATTAGACTCATGGGGTAAAAACAGAACAGAGAGTCAGGGCCTTACTGTGTAGCCTAGCCGAGAACTCAGGTTTGTCCTGTCTTGGCCTTCTCAGTGGCTGGAGTTACAAGCATGCACCATTCGCCTTGCCGCATTTCTTGACTTATATTAACTAATTTTTGATAATAAAATTCTTGCCATACACTACATTTTTAAGGCCCCAGATGAAGTTGGCAATGCAGATTCAACAAGAGTAAAAACAATACTTTATAACAGTAGTTTGGAGCGATGGCACTAAGTACTTGTTCTTTCACAGGATCCAGATTCAATTCCTAGCACCATCTGTGGCATTATCTCCCAGGGACCCTGCCTACTCTTTTGGCCTCTCCAAGCAACAGGAACCATGTGGTCCTCTAGTGTACATGTGTACTACTCATACAAATAAAAAAATTAAAATTACACATATCTAAGAGAATCTTAAAAACAAATAGAAATCTGCATAAAACCAGGCATTGTAACCTATACAAAAATGAACTCTGAACTATGCTGTAGTTCTGTGTTACTAAATAAAAGTTAACTTACAACTTGTTATGGAAGTTCCCATCAGGTTTTATCTTCCATTTGTACAGTCAACAGGCATTTAACTTCATTCTCTTATTTGTCTACCAGCTCTACTTGGTGTCTTGAGTTAGCATAGAAGCAACAATAGCAGTCATGCAGTAACTGATTAGCACATTCACCTGACTGGGAGAAGATTTGCTGTTTGAGTTCTTATCTCATATCCCAGGCTGGCCTTGAGCCAGAGGTGAGGCCAGTGATGACTTTGAATTTCTGACCTTTCACACCCTGGGGGCCAGGTTTACAGGTGTGCACCAGCACAGTTCTGGGATTGACACACGAAGATCTGTTCATGTGAGGAAAGTGCTCCTATCAACTATTAGGATCTTAGGAAAACTAACCTCAGCTCTTCTCTCCTCATTTATGAGTATAGTGCTCACCTCTGAAGCTGTTGTGAGGATTAAATGAGTTAATAATATAAAACCCTCCTCCTGCCGGGCGGTGGTGGCGCACGCCTTTAATCCCAGCACTTGGGAGGCAGAGGCAGGCGGATTTCTGAGTTCGAGGCCAGCCTGGTCTACAGAGTGAGTTCCAGGACAGCCAGAACTACATAGAGATAACCTGTCTCGAAAAACCAAAAAGATAAAATAAAATAAATAAAAAAATAAAATAAAACCCTCCTCCCTGTCTTTGTAACACAGTCTTCAGTCAGTAACTGATTTGATCCTGCTTTTGGCTCTGGTATTACTCTTTCCCTGGAACTTTTGGCAGTTAGCCTAACCTCACGAAGCTATCAGTGGTTATTGTACTATTGTGTAGACTAAATTTACAGTTCCAGAGTAGCCCATCACACTATCTCACGTTGTAAGTGCTCTGAGAGGACTAAGCAACAGTGATGCTGTGATGTTGGTACTAGACCTACTGCTGCTGCTGCTGCTGCTGCTGCTGCTGCTGCTGCTGACAGTTCTGCACAATTCTAAGCTCCATAATTAGAATGAACAAGTTAACAACCTTTAGTTTTTAGTATATACCGGCTAGGATTATTTATTGATTTATTATTACTAAATCCCACTCCTATTTTTTCAGGCAGTGTTGCAACAAGTAACCGAAGATGGCTCTAAATATGGGTTAAAAAGTGAGCTTTTCTCAGATCTCACCCAGAAGAGAATTGTGGTTGAATTCAGGTAAGTGACTGTTGATCTTATGTGCTGATTAACCCCATGATAGGACAGATAAGATTATACCTTGGTGATTGAGTTTTCACTGATGGATCAGTCACTAAACCACGAATAAAAAAAAAATCACAAAAATCAGTATTTTATGAATTTTATGGTTTTGCCTTTTCCTTTTTTTGGACAGAATCTCCAGCGGTCCAGGCTGTCCTTGAACTGGAGGTGTAGCCAGTGATGACCTTGAACTTGTGAGCTTGCACCTCCTGAGTGCTGGGTTTATAGGCGTGCACCACTACACCACATTTATGCAGAGCTAGGCTTGGAACACAAAGACTTGTGAGGTGCATGCTGCAGCACCTGTGTCAGGGAAATACTTTGTGGAGTCCGTTCTCTCCCTTGGCTTTTATTTGCGTGCTGAGAATTGAACACAGATTGCCAGGCTTGCTTGGCAAGCCACTTTACTATCTTGCCAGCCCAATTCCTATGGTTGGTTGGTTGGTTTGTTTTTAGGAACTAGTTTTTCACTTTAGTTCATTTGTAAAGCAGAACAGTATAGTTTACTACTATATTAAGAGATTTGCCGGGCAGTGGTGACACATGCCTTTAATCCCAGCACTTGGGAGGCAGAGGCAGGTGGATTTCTGAGTTCAAGGCCAGCCTGGTCTACAGAATGAGTTCCAGGACAGCCAGGGCTACACAGAGAAACCCTGTCTCAAAAAAACAAAAAACCAAAACAAAAAAAAAAAAGTTTTAACATAATTGGATAACTAAAGAACAAAGCCTTGCAATTGTAATTAGATAATTTTTATTAACAGAAAAATAACTTCAAGAATTTTTTTGTTTTAATTTTTAGTTTTATTGTATATGTGAGGTAGGAATATGTGTGTGTATGTATAATACAGGTTCATAAATTATGGTATTGTGCATATGGAGGTCAGAGGACAACACCCATGGGTGTATACCTAGCCTACCGTGTCTGAGAACAGAGTTTCTTGTTTGCCTCTGTGTGTGCCACACTAGTTGGCCTGTGTGCTTTCAAGGATTTTCCCTTACTTGCCTCCTGTCTGCCACAAGAGCACTGGGATTACATCCGATACCACACCCCGCTTTTGCATGGGCTCTGGGAGTACAGGTAGGTTCCTCTCATTGTGTGACAAGGATACTTTGTCCGATCTATAATCAGTAGCCCTTTGGGGGTTTGGTTTGGTTTTTTGTTTGTTTGTTTGTTTGTTTGTTTTTCAAAAAACAAGCTAAAGTTTAGAGTTTCTCTGTGTATCTCTGGCTGTCCTGGAACTCACTCTGTAGACCGGGCTGGCCCCAAATTCAGAAATCTGCCTGTCTCTGAATCCTGAATGCTGGGATTAAAGATGTATACCACCACACCCCCAAGTTTTTAATTTGTTTCTACATAGTCTTCAGATAAATCTCTAATACATTATAAATAAAACCATCTAATACTTAAACTGTCATCAAATAATAAAAAATGTAAAGAAAACATTGATAACTAATATCTTCACAGTGTAGCTGACTAGTTGTTCAAGAAAATTACCAGAGGTATTTATCTTCCAAAAGATGAGGAATCGTAATGAACTACTTTCCCGCTTAGAAAGATAGGACTCCCTAGAGCCCTTTTTCTTCTTCATTTATTTCTGAGGATAGTATGGATGCACATGAATGTACACATGTACTATGAAGACCAGATGTCAACTTTTGGCATTTCCTCAGGTGGTGGTCCTCAAGTACATTCACCTTGATTTTGAGATAGCTTCCCTCACTTGGCCTAGAACTCACCGATTAGGCCACCATGGCTGTCAGTTATCTACCTAGTATACACTTTTTTCTTCCTCTTCAGCACTGATATTACAGCAGCAGTAGCCAAGCCTAGCCTTTGAACACGGGTTCTGGAGATCAAATTCAGGGCCACATGCTTCGTGGGCAAGCAGCTTTACTACTGAGCTATCTCACGAGCCCTCTCTGACATTTTTAAAAAGCTAGGGAAGTGTCTTGTGTTTGCTCCCTCATTTTGTTCCTTAGGTACGTTTTTAAAATTTAGTTATGGTTACAAATTGAACAGTAAGAACAAGGCTTTTCCAAATTGCACATGTACTCTGTACTTAGATTCTATTAAGGGCAGATGCTAGAAGACTTAAAACTGTTTGAAACTGAGGCTGACTGCTGAGATGATCACCCTGCCCACAGGTCAGGCACGCGTCTTTGTTCAGTCTGTGCAATGTAATCATAGCATTTAAAACTGAGTTTAGAGACTTGTTTGTATGACAAAGAGAAAGTGGACTTTAAACAACCCCTTACATTGAAGAACAAGCACACTAAGGAGCAGTCACCGTCATGGTGGACATGCTGTGTCATGATGGGCATACTGTGTGGTGCAGAGCTCACATGTGTGTTCAGAACCAAGGCTGCAGTGAGGTTCTGCAGTGCAGGACAGCAAGCAGTGCTGGAAACACTGCAGATCCATTATGTGTTTGATCCTAAACAAGCCTTCTGAAACTTCTACTCCAACCTCTTTTTGCCCAAGAAGTTGAAATTTTTTAACTTACATTTATTTGTTTGTATGTGTGTGAGAGAGCACCTGTATGCTGCGACATACAGGAGGTCATGCATGGAGGTCAGAGGACACATCATGTGGGGACTCAGGTGATCAGGCTTGTCAGCAGGCAAGCCTGACCTTTACTGAGCTGTCTTACTGGCACTGCCTAAGAATTTTTTAAAAACCTTGGGCATATAGGTAAATAAAATATAAAATAGGAATATAAATTAAAGTGATAACATCATAATTTATTTTAGAATAGTAACTTATATAAAACTTATACCATTTGGTATTTTGCATGCTAATATAACAAACATGTATATTTTTATAAGAAGAATTAAACATTAGCTTAATGTTTGATACTATAAGACATAGAGTTTCTCTCTAGCATGTTTATCTTCTCGATCTTAAAATGATTTGTTTCATAAGTGTGCCATTTCTGAATATCTGACTACATTATGGATCACAGGATCAATAACTGTTGGTCAGTAATAAGGTGGTTCTTTTCAAATTCGAATTCATCCTCACTGTTACTGAATAGTCAAAAGCCCTGCTCCCTAGCTATGCCAGCCTACGGACAGACGTTATCTTACATTATTAGCTCATTCTCAAAACTTTAGTTATTGAAATAAGAAAATATTCTTGCAATTTTTGCAGTTCACCTAATATTGCCAAAAAATTTCATGTTGGACACTTGCGCTCCACCATCATAGGTAAGTAGTCCCTGCAACAGGGAGGACTAAGCAAGCCTTCGGTGACGTGCATAGAATGCAGTGTAATGGTCGAGCGTTTAAATGAAAAGGAAGAAAAGGGCCCTCCCAAGTGAAAAGTTATGTGAACATAATGCTTAGTAAAGGTTGCACTAAATTGGAAAATGGGTTTACAGGTTAAAAACAAAATTTATTTGAACAGAAAAAGACTCAGAAATCAGAAACAATGGTATGTGTGTAGTAATTTTTTGTTGTTGTTGTTGTTTGTTTGTTTTGTTTTTGTTTTTCGAGACAGGATTTCTTTGTGTAGTGCTGGCTGTCCTGGAACTCACTCTGTAGACCAGGCTGGCCTCAAACCCAGAAATCTGCCTGCCTCTGCCTCCCAAGTACTGAGATTAAAGGCGTGCGCCACCACTGCCCAGTGTGTGTTGTAATTTTTAACTGTTATGCTTATGGAAAACTGAAAGAGGCAAAAAATAAAAATTAGTCACAAATTATTTCTGTGGGATTGGCAGAAATATTTCAGATTTTTTTTTGTTCACATATTTTTTTTTGTATTAGATAAATTCACTCTCAGCACTTAATGGTAATTTTCAAGACTAAAAATTTCCATAAGATATTTTAGGAATACTAAAATTAGGAATACTAAAACTACTTCATAGTTGTAAAGCTTCATCGTGTGTGTGTGTGTGTGTGTGTGTGTGTGTGTGTGTGTGTGTGTACACAAGTGTACATGAATGCAAAGCATCAGATGCCTTAGAGTTAGAGTTGCAGATATTTGTGAGCTTCCTGATGCAGGAGCTTGGAACCAAACTTGGGTCTTCTGGAAGACCAGCAAATAATCTTCATTGCTAGGCCACTTTTCTAGCCCCTCTAAATGCCATATGCCTTAATTACTAAGATTCAGTTGTTTTGTCTTCAGAGTTAGCTAAGAATAGAAATTAACGTGTTTCTGAGTACCAGTATTGATGCTGTTGAAAATTCTCTTCTCATGAAAATTATGGGAACCTTCGGAATACTATCTCTCTTAAGTAATTCCTTACTTCATATCCATATGCAAGTAAACACATTATGAATGCTTTAATAGGAAAGACTGAGTTTTTTTTTTGTTTTGGGGTTTTGTTTGTTTGTTTGTTTGTTTTTTGTGTTTTTTCGGGACAGGGCTTCTCTGTGTAGCCCTGGCTGCCCTGGAACTCACTCTGTAGACCAGGCTGGCCTTGAACTCAGAAATCCATCTTCCTCTGCCTCCCAAGTGCTGGGATTAAAGGCATGCGCCACCACCGCCCTGGCAAGACTGAGTTTTATTAAATATAAAAATTTTAGTCAAAATAGAAGTTAGAAATAGAAGATAGAAAATCTCATAACTTGATAATAGAGAAGTACAAAGCTTTAAAGCCAAAAATGGATAACTAATATAAGATTATATTTTATTTATGACTAGGAAATTTTATAGCAAATCTAAAAGAAGCTTTAGGACATCAAGTAACAAGAATAAATTACATTGGAGATTGGGGCATGCAGTTTGGTAAGTATGTTTGACATGCTTTTCATTTTATTATATGGCTTAATTATTTCAAGTACTATGTCACTTGGTCATCTGTATGGAATGTAGACAATCCCTATTGGATTAAACAATGTAATATATCTGTGATGCTGGGAATTGAACCTGGGGTCTCATGTATACCTAGTACATGTACGACCCTAATCTGTGTCTGCCTATCAACTTACGTACGCTATATAAATCTCACCATATAATTAATTGGCAAATTTAGAGCCAATTACCTAATAAATTACCTAATAAATTAATTTACCTAATAAATTAGTATACTTAACACATACATTAAGCCTTTAATAAAGAAGCTTACCTTTATTGGTTAAACGTAGAAATGAATAAACAGAGAAAAATGTCTCTACCTATGTATTCCAGTCTTGGCCATACCTTGCCATTTTTAAATTCATGAGCTCCACCACCCTACCCCACCACACCCACACCCAGACCATCCTATAAGACTTGGGATCTGTTACTATATGAGTGAGTAGCTCAGAGGTCAAACAAAGTGTGATGCTCTTGCCTTCTCTTGAACTCTCCATTGGAGTAGGTGGAGGTCCAAAGGAAACAAAAGGAAAGGGTGAGACCCAAAGAGCTGCATGCCATAAATCATGTCTAAGGTCACTCACAGTTTATTCAGAAAAACTGTGGTTCATAGAACCCAGTCACATAGGTATGAGGAGGGCGAGGCAGGTGGAGTTGTTATGGTTGTGAGGGACTGCTTGCACACTGCATACAATCTTGTGTTGGTTTGTAGATCGAGCTGTACTGCTATATTCTGTGACAGAGAGATGTGGTCTTTGCATAGCACCACATTCCTAAAAGGCAGCTCTTCTCTGTAAAAGTGTGATTTATCCTCCTGTCCCCAAGCTCCCAAAATAATGACTCTGAGACTCCAATTATGTTTACAGATAGCTTGGCTATACACTTTGGCTGTTCTCCAACTAGCTTGTTTATTAGTCATCCCCTTATGCTATCCTAATTCTGTCACGTGGCTGGTTACCTCAGCTCCCATGCTTCTGTCCTCCTCCATGTTCCTGGGCAAGTCCCTGTGCTTCTCTCTCTATCCACTGCCAGATGTCCCAGCTCTTGTTTTCTGCCTCAGCTCATTGGCCATGAGCTTTTTATTGACAGGTGATACGTAGATTCTCTGCACACTCCCCAGCTAGGGTTTTTGTTGTAGCACTCTGTGTGCTCTTTTCCCCCACAAGACATTAATTTCTTGAGGGTATAGGCTATGCCTTAATTATTTTAGTATCCACTCAGTGGTGAATGACTCTGCTTACAGTGCTAATAGCAAAGCTAAGTGATATTGTGAGCCTTCTCCAAAAGCATATAGTTTGCAAAGAAGCTTTTTCATAACAGATTTATCATGACCTTATGAATAGTATTATGTCAGTTATTAAAAACTGGAAGACAACATGTAGAAGAATGCAAATCGATCCATTCTTATCTCCTTGTACAAAGCTAAAGTCCAAGTGGATAAAGGACCTCCACATAAAGCCAGATACACTGAAACTAATAGAAGAGAAGGTGGGGAAGAACCTCGAATACTTGGGCACAGGGGAAAAGTTCCTGAACAGAACACCAATGGCTTATGCTCTAAGATCAAGAATTGGCAAATGGGACTTTATAAAATTGCAAAGTTTCTGTAAGGCAAAGGACACTGTCAATAGGACAAAACAGCAACCAACAGATTGGGAAAAGATCTTTATCAATCCCACATCCGATAGAGGGCTAATGTCCAATATATACAAAGAACTCAAGAAATTAGACTCCAGAAAACCAAATACCCCTATTAAAAATGGGGTACAGAGCTAAACAAAGAAGACTCAACTGAGGAAACTTGAATGGCCGAAAAGTACCTAAAGAAATGTTCAGCATCCTTAGTCATCAGGGAAATGCAAATCAAAACAACCCTGAGAATCTACCTCACACCATTCAGAATGGCTAAGATCAAAAACTCAGGTGATAGCAGATGCTGGTGAGGATGTGGAGAAAGAGGAACACTCCTCCATTGTTGGTGGGATTGCAAGATGGTACAACCACTTTGGAAATCAGTCTGGCGGCTCCTCAGAAAATTGGACATAGCATTAACTGAGGTCCCAGCTATACCACTCCTGGGCATATACCCAGAAGATGCTCTAACATATAATAAGGACATATGCTCCACTATGTTCATAGCAGCCTTATTTATAATAGCTAGAAGCTGGAAAGAACCCAGATGTCCTTCAACTGAGGAACGGATACAAAAAATGTGGTATATTTACACAATGGAGTATTACTCAGATATTAAAAACAATGAATTCGAGAAATCCTTAGGTAAATGGATGGTACTAGAAAATATCATCCTGAATGAGGTAAGCCAATCACAAAAGAACACACATGGTATTCATTCACTGATAGTTAGATATTAGCCCAAAAGCTTGAAATACCCAAGATGCAACTCACAGACCACATGAAGCTCATGAAGAAGAAAGACCAAGTGTAGGTGCTTCAGTCCTTCTTAGAAGGATTAACAAAATACTCAAGGGAGCAAATATGGAGACAAAGTGTGGGACAGAAACTGAAGGAGGGGCCGACTGGAGACTGTTTCACCTGGGTATCCATCCCTTGTGCAGTTACCAAAGGTAGATGCTGATGTGGATGCCAGGAAGTGCATGTTGACAGGAGCCTGATATAGCTGTCTCCTGAGAGGTCTGCCAGAACTTGACATATTCAGAGGTGGATGTTCACAGCTAACCATTGAGCTGATCATGGGGTTCCCAATGGAGGAGTGAGAGAGAAGACTGAAGAAGCTGAAAGGGTTTGTGGCCCCACGGGGAGAACAATAATACCAACCAACCAGAGCTCCCAGGGTCTAAACCACCAGCCTGGGAGCTCAGCTGTATATGTAGGGGAGGATGGCCTTGTCAGGCATTGGTGGAAGAGGAGATCCTTGGTCCCATGAAGGTTGGTCACCCAGTGTGGGGGAAATCGAGGGTGGGGAGGTAGGAGTTGGGGGGTGGGAGGGCACATCCTCATAAAAGCAGGAGGAGGGGGGCTAGGATAGAGGGTTACTGAGCGGGGGGGATGGAGTAAGGGGATAACATCTGAAATGTAAATAAAATATCCAATTTAAAAAAAAATGTAAACCATTTGAAAAAAAAAAAAATGTGCCGGGGGGTGGTGCACGACTTTAATCCCAGCACTTGGGAGGCAGAAGCAGGCGGATTTCTGAGTTCGAGGCCAGCCTGGTCTACAGAGTGAGTTCTAGGACAGCCCAGGCTATAAAGAGAAGCCCTGTCTCGAAAAACCAAAAAAAAAAAAAAAGAAAAAGAAAAGAAATGTTTCCAAACCTTATAAATAGAGTTTAAACCTGTTCATAGTCTGCTCACTATAGAAGACACCGACATGTTCTCTGTTTCAGAAATCCACTGACTGCTGTCAGTCTACAGCAGCTGGTAGTCAAAGGTTTAAACTCTGGGTGCATCAAGACTTCCTAGATAGCATCCACTGTTTATTCCTTTGACTGGTCTAAACATGTCACAGCAACAGCAGTGTGTGACAAGCAGTCACCAGATTCTGACTACAGGGTTTTCAGTAGTATTTTTCTAGAAAGGAATTCTGTAAGTAATGATCTGCCAGCTTCCCAGTACAGCCATTATTGTAGGATTAACATTCTTTCAGCTCTCCCATTTGAGAGTTGGCACATGATTGCTGTTCACAGAACTAGCTTTTCAACATGTATCAGACTCATATTTTAGCTGGCCTCAAATTCAGAAATCTGCCTGCCTCTGCCTCCCAAGTGCTGGGATTATAGGTGTGCACCACCACCACCACCCAGCTGTATTTATCCTTTTAGACTATTATGGTCATCTTTTAGCTGTGTTTATTAAGAATATAAATATTTACAATCCTCCAAAGTTTAAATCCTCATTTAGTAATTTTTGAAAGTTCAAACTAATAGTATGCCTGAACATCACTGACTGATAAACTATACCTGTCTAGTTGTATTAGTTTTCTTTTATTAGACCCAAACACCTTGTTAGAAACAAAGAATAATCTTGGTTTCACCCAACAAAGCACACATCTAAAACAAAAGCTACCTAGCAAGACAATATTTTTGTAAAAATGGTACACCAGAACCCAAACTAGACTAGTGAACACATTGCCAAAATGGCCTCTTTTACCCCTTACTGTGTGTCTTATCCCATTGGTGGGGGTTCAGTTTCACAATCCAATGTAATTAGCTAATTAACATAAAGGGGAAATGTGAACCTTGGGCCGACTACCTTTGGTAGGATTAATCCTTTTCACACATATCTGACAAAAGAAACCTAAGTAAAGAGATGTTTATTTTGGCTTCTGATTTAAGAAGGCATATAGTCCATGGTGTTGGGGAAGGCACTGAAGCGGGAATGGGGAGTAGCTGGCCGTGCTGTTTTTGCAATCAGGATGCAGAGTACAGATAGAAAGGAGAGCCAGGCTAGAGAACTGCAAGGCCTGTATCCCTTCCCAAGAGCTACTTCGTCTTGCAAGACTACCTCTGTAAGGTAAAGATTCCACAGCTCCAGCAGCTGGGGACTGAGCTTATAGGGACATGTTTGCACATTTTAGATTTTTGCCTTTTGTTTATTATTTTTCAGTTATTTCAAAACAGATGTAACACATAGCCATTCTTACCTTTATTTTAATAAATACAAGGTTAAAAAAGTTTAAAATCACTTCTCAACAGTGCTTTTTAGTATATCAGTATAATTTTGAGTGTCTAGTACCTCACAAAGTAGCTGTTCAATAAACGTTTGGAGTATGTGATTCAATGTTTTGTTTTTAATATGTCATTTTATAAGATATGCCTTCTGCAAAGTTTATATCTGTATAAAAGATAAAATGTTTATATATATAATATATATTAAATAAAATATTTATATATAATATATATTTGCAATAGTTCTCAGGATATATAGTTGAGTGGTTCATCTTTTTATAGAATTATACCTGTTTCTCACCATGACTGTTCTCTACTATATTATTTTGTAATTTTTATTCATTCGTTATCTTGACAGGTTTGCTGGGAACTGGTTTCCAGCTGTTTGGCTATGAAGAGAAACTCCAGGCCAATCCTTTACAGCATCTCTTTGATGTAAGTTGGCTAGATATATACCATAATAGGCATGTTCCCACTAAAGGATGACTTGGGGACACAGTTTTCCCTCACTGTACATGTACCCTAAACCACCTTAGGGTAGATAAGCTTTTCTGTTCTTCATTTCTAGATATACTTGATTATAAAGTATCTAAGTTTGATTGTTGTCAGGGGCAGGGAAACTTATACTGTTGTTTCAGGAGAGGTAGATGTGTAAACAAATTCAGGTTTGGGGAATAGAAGATTCTAAGGTTACTAGGTGCATTTCTGTTTTGTTTTGTTTGTTTGTTTGTTTGTTTGTTTTGGTTTTTCGAGACAGGGTTTCTCTGTGTAGCCCTGGCTGTCCTGGAACTCACTCTGTAGACCAGGCTGTCCTTGAACTCAGAAATCCACCTGCCTCTGCCTCCCAAGTGCTGAGATTAAAGGTATGCACCACCACTGCCTGGCAGGAGAACTCTTTCTAAGCACAAATTGTAAGCTTTCTGCTTTGTGACTGAGCAATGTGATTAGCTCCTGTTGCCATGAACCACAACAGCTTCCTTAAGCTGCTTGTATCAGGACATTTTATCACAGCCAACAGCAGTAACTAAGAGACACATGACATGGCAAGTACTTTTCTAACTGAGATGTCTCCTTAGCCCCTCGGAGCCCATCTGCTTATTCATTACCTCACTGTGCTGCATCCTCTGCAAAGTTGCTTTACTTATAATTACTACATGCCAAGGATGCTCCCCAGTGTGCTCAGGTTAGTTCACAGGCTTTCTGACGGCCATCTCAGAAGCAGCAGATGTGTATGTTTTCTTGTCATTTATTTAAAAGAACAATAGTAACATCCTGAGGCATGACACAGCATTGAACAAATGAGTTTGTTTGTTTACATTATAACTGTGAGTTCCTAATGAGGTAAAAATTAAGTGCATTCAAAGACAGAAGACACGAGAATATAGATGAATGGGTCTATGGTGCCAACCTTATGCTGATCATTTGTGGCATTTGTCAACTTGACACCTCAGCACTCCTAAGAATGATCAGAGGGTAACATTAAAAATCCTACACCGGGGGCTGGAGAGATGGCTCAGTGGTTAAGAGCACTGACTGCTCTTTCAGAGGTCTTGAGTTCAATTCCCAGCAACCACATGGTGACTCACAGCCATCAGAGGGACAATGTACTCATATACTGTAAATAAGCCTTAAAAACCACATAGGTGGGAGAGGAGATCCTTGGTCCTATGAAGGCTGGACCCCAAGTACGGGGGAATTCGAGGGTGGGGAAGAGGGAGTTGGGGGGTAGGTGGGGCACATCTTCATAGAAGCAGTAGGAGGGGGGATGGGATGGGGGTTCCTGGGCAGGGGGTGGGGGGGTGGGTACAAATAGGGTAAGGGGATAACATCTGAAATGTAAATAAAATATCCAATTAAAAAGAAAAAAAAAACAGTTCCAGGACAGCCAGGGCCATACAGATAAACCCTGTCTCAAAAATCAAAAACAAAAACAAAAAAAACAAAGTAAAAAAAAGAAACCCAAAAAACCCTATACCAAGAAGTTAACTGTGCCCAAGTGACTAATGGTTGCAGAGACATATTTTAAAGGATTGGAATAAGAAAGGGTTTCCACTTCCCTTAGTTGTGTGCACTTTATAATAAAGAGTGGCAATAATGCTCTTAGTGGACTTTCAAACAAAAGTCATGCGGTGTTTGGCAATTCCAACATCAGAACTCTTAAAAGGGGAAGGTTAGTACCCTCTTAAGGAAGTTGGATATGCTTAGTTTGTTCTTTACTAGATAAAAATCTAATTTTTACATACTGATGATAGAAATAAAGTTGTAGTTTCATTCTCAAAAACAGTATACTATGCTATGCTGTCTTACATACAACCACAATTTAAAATTTCCTTTTTATTCTCTGGAATGTAAATGTGCCTAAAAAGAAAAAGAAGCTGTCTCCAAAATTCACACTTTCTAAAATAAAGGATTTATATTAATTATAAATTTAAATTGTAAATATTTCAGAATTATATGTATATGGGAAAAGAAACTAATTGCAAACTGTTGACAATTCTAATTTTACAGTTATTTATAGGCAATTTGTAAAATACTTAGTAATATTTCTATATTTGTACATTTATAAAATATTTGTATATATACAAATAGTGATTTGGTTATCACCACTTACCAGATACTTTAAAATGTAGTAAGAGTTTTTGTTTCATTTTGATTTATATTTTTTTAGGAAAATATTTCTAATAGTTTTTTCTAGAAGCATTCACATCAATAGATTGTTTTATTTTATTAAAATGTTAATGTAAAATAAAGGATTTGATTGACATTTGGGGCATGTACCTCACTCATATTCACCCTGTCGTTATACTCTGTGATTGCTTCCCTCACATATCCTTTCGTCTCCAAAATGACCCCTTCCATTCTGTATTCGAGAAAGCATATAGTATTTGTCCTTTTTTCCTGGTGCTTCTCTCAGTAGATCCCTTTCTGCTTGTAGAGAATCTCACTTCTTTCATAGTATTATATTTAACTATATATGCAATTAACCTAGTAGAAGAATCATTAGATGAGTGGAGAGAGAGAGAGAGAGAGAGAGAGAGAGAGAGAGAGAGAG